CGAAAAATAATCTATAAATCACATGTTTCTCTCACTGTTGTTGTTTTCCCCCCTTTCTTCGAGGATTTGATTCCTTACTATTTCCTCAATTAAGAAAATTTGGAATCTTGCTGTGGTTCAATTTTGGGTTTCTCAACTCGATTCGCTTCAAGAACTGGTACTTTCCCTCTTTCTCCTATATCAAGAACATGAAAGTTTTGATTGTTCTATTCTAGAATTTTCCTTCAATTCATATTCGTTTAGTTTTATGATACATATAGAGTACAGGGTATTATTGTTGTTTAAACTGTATTAAGATTTCTAACTATTATAATGTGAAATTATTGACCATCCTATGTTTAGTTCATTGTCATGTAAGATTTCTATTGTGGTTGTTGCAGGTGATTGCCTCCAATCTAAATAGACACACTCGGTGTTTCTCTCGGTTCATGGAGTCCTTTATGCAGTTTCCTTCTATTTTTATTTTTCTTGAAAAATCTTTAAAATTTTCATTTAGTTAAGTACCTAATTTGCATTAATTTTAATGCTTCCGCATATTATTATGGTTTAAGCTCTTTAAGATGGGTGAAAAATGAGTAGTTTAACATTTTCTGTTGAAGATGATGTTTCATATGCTAAATTTATATTTGTTGAGCTTAATGTTATAAGCATGTTTAACTTCATGGATGAATATATTTTGAGGAAAAAGGACCGAATTGATGCTCTTAGTTTTGTTTTAGCTAAACCAATGGGGAATACACCATGTATGCTTGAAAGAAGCATTATATCGAGGTGATTTGTCTTGGTTTAATTAGCCTCATCTATATGGATTCGAAAAATTACTTTATTATAATTGCATCATTTATTATAATTGCACCTTGTCCTCAATGCTACTTTATTATAATTGCAACATGTCCTCAATGTAACATATGAATTGATGTCATTCTGATCTTTTTCATGATCGAGAGATCAATTTTTAGGTTGAGAGATTTGCGACAGACTTCGTAGTTGTAAGGTTTCAGACTTGGGATAAAGTTGAGATGCAGCTACTAGATTGAACCCTACGAAACAGGGGTTAGATATTTTTCTCTCTGCCTACCCAAAAGGTATTTGTTTATCTCATAATGTGATGTTTCAAACTTAAGAAGCTCACATGTTAATATCACAGGTTTTCAAATGGTTGATCCTCAAATGGCCAAACAATACTAACATTTGATGCACAAGGACAAAAACAAGCACAAATATGAGGATGAAATGTATGCTTAAATGTAAATTATTGAACATTAATTTGTAAGTTAACATGTTTCTCAAGTGATAATAGGTAGAATAGGACGAAATGCTCAATATCACATATTCATTTCCACACATGCATGTGCACAGAGGGAGGGAGGGATATTGCTTTCATTTACTTCCATTAATTATTCACATAGCCTAGAATAATGAATTGTTGACATATTTTAAATTCTTTCTATTGGATAAAAATTTTCTATGGAAAAAATGGTACAAAGGTGTAATATGACCAGACAAATATATCAAATGGATGATGCATTATAGTATTATAGTCTTGACTAATGAGACAATTTGGTGAAAATAAATAAAACTCCTCTGTTCCTGTAAGAAAGTTAGCATTTAATTCACTAAAGTATAAATAAAACTCCTCTGTTCCTGTAAGAAAGTTAGCATTTAATTCACTAAAGTTATGAAACTTAAAAAAAACTCTCACCTACACTTCTCAGTTGTTATTAGTTAGCATTTAATTCACTAAAGTTATGAAACTTAAAAAAAACTCTCACCTACACTTCTCAGTTGTTATTGGTTTGTTCTTTGTAATAAACCATCAGCATATTCACTATAATCACTTGTATATATTTAATAAGAAGGTGAATAGTATAGCGTATGCTTGTGTTAATTATTTTCTCTTTTACTCTTTGTTCTATGGTTCTCATAGCATATTACAACTTATCTTTGTTGATTACACCATCTTGCTGAGCATTGTCCTTTTTGTTTCTTTCTAGTGGTTCGTGCTACATAAATATAACTGTTTCGGAATTAATTATGTGGACACAAAAAGCTGGCGATAATTCATAATTCCTATTTCTACATATCAATTTTTCTTTTATTGTCCAAGTTTGTAGTTATTGATTAAGAAAAGATGTCAATCTTGCAATGATTATCATTTCAAATGTGATGCCAAGGTATGTTCTGAGTGGTCATTTGCTCAAGCCAACTACCAGAAGCCACACTGTGTTGCTACCTTTGGAGCTCAATATACTATCATCATTACTGGTTAGGATGGCAGGTATTACTCCTCACTCAAATTTCATTTATGCTAGAAATTATGGTTTTTTGGCTACGCAAATGTTTCTAGTGGTATTTTACTACTAAAAATAATATCAACAAGTAATAGATTTATAGGCACATCTAGATTTCTACCAATAATCCACTTCAGGTTTATTTTCTTCTTAATCACTTATAAGTGCATAAATGCTATATCTAGATATATGCAACAACATAATAGAAAATAATGATAATAAAAACTATGACTAACATGACGACATCAAATTTTGAAGGTATCAGATTGGAAAATTAATTAGCAATATGAGAATGTTACATGCATGATAACTTTGTAAATGACTTTAGTGTTTTAGGCGGCAGACACAATATCAGGGGAATAAACCTACAATCTAAATGTTATACATATTATACATCAGAAAACTTGACTGAAACTGCAAATTCCAGAATAAACCTACAATGATACTATACACACTACATATGAAAAAACTTGATTAGAACTGCATATATGCTGATGATTTGAGCTAAAATGCAATAGGAAGACCAGTAAGAATAACGTCTGAGATGAGATTTACACCTAAGCACTTAGTAGAAACCTGTGGAGGATTACAACTGACAAGTATGATTTAATGTTTTGGGCAATACTTTTAGTATATTATGTATGGAAAGGTAGGCAATATATGATAGATGTGTACACCCACAAAGTTATTTTGCTTGAACTATTATTGAGCATAAAACCGATGATGAAAACCTTGAAGGCCAAGAAAGTTTAGTTTGTGGGTAACAAATATGTTAGTACATTATGTAAAAAAAGTCGTAAAAGGATCATTCATATACCCAAATAAAATAAGTTGGGATTAAAGATAAATTAATTGATATACCCAAATAAAATAAGTTGGGATTAAGGATAAATTAATTGATGTGTAATTCTTTAGTTTTTTGCTATATTTATCAAATTTCTTGACAACATTTAGTTTTCTAGCCATAGTTTGTATATCCTTTGTAACTTAGGCCACGCCAAGTTCTAGAAAGAGGAGGTTTAAAAGACTTAACGGGAATCGATTCCAAATGGTCTTGGGATTGTCTCTTGCATCTGAAGAAAATTCAGATTTAAACCTCAAACGAGCCAAGTTCGAAGAAGTATTGACTAAACAACAAGATTCATGTATTTATATCATTTTTATCTACTATATTGTCTATTTTATGAATCAGGTACTTAAAAAATTTTCAAGGGGAAAAAGAGATGGGACTCAATGAGGAATTGGATTGCCTGGATGAAGGGCCTAGAAGCATAGCATCACTTTTAGGCCTAGCACCGTGTGAATTAGAGGATCGTTATGCATCCGCAATTTTCTTTGAACAAAACTTTCATTATTTGTACATATATTTGTTGATAACTAAATATTATGATTATTGAGGTGAAGTCCTTTCCATGAAATTCTTTCACAATTTCTTAAAAACAATTATAAGATTTTCTTTTCCCCCGCGTCTCGCGGGGGGTATTTGCTAGTTTCACATAAAGCATGAGTGCATGACAGAGGCCGGAAATCCTAACAAATAACAACCTTTTGTTTCGGATAGTACAAATGTGTCCTTCTAACTCCAACATTCATGAGATCAGGTCCACTGTGATGCTCCTTTCCTCTGCTGGTGGCCGCAACATTTGCCAGTAGGTGGCATGGAACTTCTGGCACCAATTCCTCGATCGTGATCTTGACTGTCCCTTGCTTGATAGAATAAAAGGTTAGGTAGAGACAACTGGTACTGTATAAAATAATCCATCCGCATTGAGGAAATTAATGATAGTAGTGTATCTTCAAATACATTGGCAGTGTTTGCTTTCGCTTCCAAATTCTAACAGCGAGTAGAAAGCTAACAGGGTGCATTCTTTATCTAGAGTAAGAGATCTATAGAAAACCAGTGTTAACCGTTAACTGATAACTTGTCGCTGTATTTTTTTTTTATTTTTTATCATGGAGATAATAAAATTTCCTTGGAGATTCTAGTTATTATATACGGTACTTGCTACTGCAACGATTATCCATGGATATTGTAAATTGATCCATGTACGGCATACAGTATTCATGCATTATCATTATCTTTATGTGAAATATTATCTGGTCCGTTTTATGTGAGCACACTTATTATTATTATTGAAGTACTTCTGCATTGTTTGATATACACATAAAAACACCTTAATCCGAAAGGGACGCTTTGAGTTTTTGGAGGATCGGCTGTAGCTTATGTATAAATGGAGAAAGCTATTGAATGTATTTAGACAGTTTACTCTCTGTCAAAACTATATAATTCAATTTCTATTGGAGATCGGACCATTAGTCTCTTTTAACTTGTTGTTTGAATATTAGAAAGAACAACAGTAAGTAAAGAAAAAGGTGATTTGTTAGTTTGGTTGGTTGAGCTCATACTGTTGAGAAATGCTTTGATATCCAAGGAAGCAATTGACAAAAAGGTCCGTGTCTTTGGACGGCCATATTACCCTAAAGTTCAACCATCTACGTAATTACCAAGAAGGCAACAAATATGAAATGACTTCTTGTCGTGACACCCAACATCTGATATCATCAAAATACGACAATAAAACCGTAAGATTGCAAACCTAAGACAATAAATATTCCATAACATTTATTGTCTCTTTTCTTCACTCATTTATTCAGCAACGATGACAACCGATCACAACACAATCAACAACCACAACTGGGCTTCAAAATCTATCCAACTTTAGGGACTTCAACGACTACATTGTCATCGTTCGCCCAAACCCACACCCGAGTGCATCGGAAATCCTGTACAATGGAATCCCCGACGTGCACCACAATGGCCTCCACCCTGTGATTCTGAGCCTGGATTATGGCGACTGCCTCGTTTGCGTTGTATCCTAAGAGCTCCAGCCAGCATTGTTTCCCTTCACATTCATTATCTGAGCACAGGATTAAACATGAGATGTTTCGAATTACCCCACAGAGAAATAGAAAATTGTTTTTAAAAGAGTTAAAAAAATTAACTCGGGGTGTCTACCTGCAATTAACCCTGGAAACTAATTGGAAAGGCATATAGCCAAGCAAGCAAAAAGTACAAGTAAATACGCATGCAAATAACCAGTAAAAAGGAAAAATATATACAGATGACAAATAAGCAAGGACTCTTGGCGATTTGAATGCTTTTCGATCTTTCAGATACTCACCATGAGTTGCCATTTCGAACTTCTTCTCCTGTTTTCTTGAATGGATGCTTGAGTTTTGAGAAATTTCGAGGTTGGAGGTGGTATTTATAGTCTATGAAGCCCACAGCTGTTGCTTCTTGGAGTTAGCAATGTAGAATATGCATATCTCCTATATTGTGGTCTAAGATATACGGCTAAGTAAACCTTTGACAAAAGAGGTCTGGCCGTGAGATAATTTACAAAATATCGGCCAGCTAGCATTGAAGCTTAAACAATATTAAGACGAATTAAGTAAAAGAAACTACCAGTTCTCTTTTGTATGATCTCACACTTGCAGTAGAAAAATGCATAATCTCCTAGCAAGCAATTGACCGAGTGGATTTGAATATACTAATTAACATTAAGCCGGCTCCAAAAAGAAACATGGATAATGTCAATAGAGTCAATACGTTTTCTGCGTCTCTAAGCAAGCATTTACATGAAAACTTTAGATCGATATTGCCCCGATATTCAACATTTTTCCATAGGGTTTGATCTCAGAGCTTCTTTCAGTTATCGGTAACTAAATTGGAAAAAAGAATCATATAAGTACTTCATTGTTGATCTAACATCATATTTGAAAGTTCACAGCGAAACACATTTATCTGAAAGTTGGAAAAAAATTAGCATAGAAAAGGATTACAAAAAGGGAAATTAAAAGTTTCTAGCTTGAATCCGTTAAATAAATGGACAAAAATGAATTCGATAAGCATTGAGGCCGGCCTCTACAATAGCTACCTAACCTGTCAATTGTTAAAATTAACGCGTTAGTTAGTTGTCTTTTGTTTAGGATGTAACCGAGTTTATGTTCGAGTTTATGTTGTATTAAATCCAATGTAATGAGCCATGTGAGTTTAACATGGGGTTGTTTCATAAAGAGTCAAATGAATGGCTAGGATTTGACCTTACAAATGATGTGGGAGCCAACATAATTGGAATCGGAGCCTAGATGGATCATCTCCATTGGATTTGTGCAAAAAGAGTGGGAAAACAACCCTCTTTTTTATGGTTAATTGCAAAAAGAGATCCTAGAGAGGGATTTTCACTTCCTGAGAACTTAGAGAGGGATTTTCACTTCCTCAAACATGGGTATGAACATCAATCGTCTCTCTATTCCTATTTTTTATGGTGAAAACTATGATTATTAGAGTATCAAGATGAAAACCCTTTTCATCTCATAAGAGAATTGGGATTTGGTAGAGGACGGGATTGAAGAACCCACTACATCTACACTTTCAATTACCAGTAAAAAGGAGAAGAAAAAGAAAGATGTAATTGCAAAAGCCCTCCTTTTCATTCAATAATCAGTGTCAAATATTTTTTTTTCAAGAATCATTGGAGCCTCTCAATCTAAGGAGGCATGAGACATCTTGAAATTTGAGTGCCAAGAAAACACTAAAAAATTATCCAACAATATGGGTTATACCTCACGAAATCATGAATTTCAGACAACACGATATTATTAGCCAATAGATTGAAATGATTAAAAATAACCAAAATTATAGATTATAGTTCATGAAATTGTGAACCACAAAATTATTTTCCAACAAGCTAAAACAAATAAAAATAGACAAAAATAATGGATTATAGCTTATCAGATCGTGAATTTTACCTCCGCGAAATTTTTTCTCTCGGTCGAAATGAACAAAAATGAAACAAATTGTAGATTATGTAGCTCTTGAAATCATAAATTTTGGTTCTACAAAATTATTTGCCAATGGATCAAAAGACGGAAACTAACAAAAAATTATGGGTAATAGTTCATGAAATCACGAATTTTAGACACAGGGAAATTATTTTCCAATGAGGTCAAAAGGAATTAAAAAATGTTAAAAATTATGGTTTATAGCTCATAAAATCATGAAATTTCTCCTCTGCAAAATCCCCCCCTTAGGTCAAAACAACTTGAAGTGGACAAAAATTATAGGCTATATAGCTCTTAAAATTGTAAATTTTAGACTTAGCAAAATTATTTGATAATGGGTCAAAATGACTAAAAATAATAAAAAATCTTGGGTTATAGCTCATAAAACCATGAATTTTTTTACTCTGTGAAATTTCAATGGCCTATAACGAATAAAAGTAATAAAAGATCAAGGGTTCTTGCTAATAGGTCAAAACAACTAAAAATGACAAAAAATCATTCGTTATAACTCATGAAATCTTAAAATTTTGACTACGTGAAAATTGCCAATGTGTCAAAACGAATAAAATGGCTAAAACTTGTAGGCTATATAGATTAAGAATCATAAAATGGACTCCATGAAATTATTTTTCAATGAGTCATAACGAAGAAAAACGGTCAAAAATTATTTATTATAGTTCATGAAATTGTGAATTTTTTTTGTTAATATATTTGTCAAGGGGTTGAAAGCACTAAAAGTAGCCAAAAATCATGACTTATAGCTCATAAGATCATAGATTTTAGACCCCATGACACTATTTGCCAATGTGTCAAATTGATAAAAACAGCCAAAATCAGGGATTTAGCTCATGAAATCATAAAGTTTTGACTCTATAAAAGTTCAATGAGTTATAATGAATAAAAATGGTAAAAAAATCAAGTGTTCTTGCTAATGGGTCAAAACAAATAATATTTATGAAAAATCAATTGTTATAACTCATGAAATCTTAAACTTTTGACTACACAAAATTATTTGCCAATAGGTTAAAATGAATAAAATGGCAAAAACTCATGGGTTATAATTCAAAATATGAATTTTGGACTGCATAAAATTATTTCTTAATGGGTCATAATAAAGAAAAATTATCAAAAATTATGGGTTCTAACTCAGGAAATCATGAATTTTTTCTTTCACGAGTGTGTTTGCAAAAGTAGCCAAAAATTAGGGTTTATAGCTCATGAAATCATGAATTTTGGGCTTCTATTTGCCTATGTATCTAATCAACTAAAAATAGCCAAAAATCATTAGTTATAGCTCATAAAATTATGAATTTTGTATCCTACAAAATTAATTTTTAGTGGGTCGAAATGTATAAAAGTGGTAAAAAATTATGGGTTATAATTTGTGCATTTTAGACTCTACAAAATTATTTCTTAATAGGTCAAAGTAAATAAAGTGGCCAAAAATAGCAGGTTATAACTAATGAATTCGTGAAATTTTGCCTCTACAAAATCTTTTTCCGTGGGTTCAAAATAAGAAAAATGGAAAAAAAGGAGTTATAGCTCAAGAAAATGTGAATTTTAGACTCAATGAAGTTATTTGTCAATGAGTTGGATCAACTAAAATGTACAAAAATTGTGGGTTATAGCTCATAAAATTGTGAATTTTTAAACTCCGCAAATGTATTTGCCCATGGGTTCAAATAATTAAAAATGGCCAAAAGTTATGGGTAATAAATTATGAACTCGTTGATTTTTGACTCTTGTAGAATTTTTTGCTAATGGGTCAAAATAAATAAAAAAAAGCCAAAATCATGAGTTAGAGCTCATTAAATCGTGAATTTAGACTTTGCAAATATATTGGTCAATAGGTCAAAACTACTAAATATATCAAAAATTAAGGGTTATAGCTCATGAAATCGTGAATTTTTAACCACACAAAATTATTTATCCATAAGTTGGAATGATTAAAAATATCCAAAAATCATAGGCTATAGCTTATGAAATGGTGAATTTCGGGCTCTACAAAAATTATTTTTTAATAGGTCAAAATGATTAAAAATGATAAAAAATTAATAGTTATAGCTCATAAAATCATGAATTAATACAAAACAAAACTATCTTCTAATGATCCAAATCAATAAAATGGTAAAACAATTCATTGGTTATAGCTTATGAAATCATGAATTGTTTACTCTTCAAAATCTTTTTCCCTTAGGTCGAAATCAATGGAAAAAGGAAAAAAAATTATAGTCTAAGCTCTTGAAACTATATATTTTGGACTCAATAAAATTATTTTTCAAATGGTCGAATTGACTACAAATGACAAAAACTCATGGGTTATAGCTCATGAAATTATTAATCTTTTACTCTGCCAAATTTCTATGGGTTTTTTAATGGAAAATCTCAACGGGATTTTTGTAATGAATAAAAATAGTAAAATATCAAGGGTTCTTGCTAATGGGTCGAAAAAACTAAAATTGTCTAAAAATTGTGTGTTATAAATCATGAATTTTTAACTTTGCAAAATCATTTGTCAATAGGCCAAAATAAATAAAATGGCTAAAACTCGTGGGCTATAGCTCATGAAATCATAAATTAAATCACAAGACATTATTTCTTAGCGGGTCTTAATATAGAAAAATAGTAAAAATCATGGGTTATATTTTATAAAATCGTGAATTTTTTACTTTCTAAATATTTTTGCCACGGGGTAGAACGTACTAAAAGTAGCTAAAAATTATGGGTAATAGCTCATAAAATCATAAATTTTGGACTCCATTAAGTTATTTTCCTAATGTCTTAAATTGTCAAAATAGTAAAAAAAATCATAGGTTGTGGCTCATGAAATTGTGAATTTTAGGCCCACAAAATTAATTCTCATGGTCAAAATGAATAAAAGTGGTAAAAAATTATGGGTTATAATTCATAAAATCATGAATATTGGACTCGGTATAATTATTTGATGTGTCAAAATAAATAAAATGGTTAAAAATCATGGGTTACAACTTATGATATTGTGAAATTTTGCCTCCACAAAATATTTTTTCGTAGGTCTGAAACAAACAAAAATAGACAAAAATCGTGGGTTTTAGCTTATGAAAACGTGAATTTTAGACTCTACAAAGTTATTTGCCAATGGATGGAACAGACTAAAAATATCCAAAATTTGTGGATTATAGCTCATGAAATTGTGAATTTTAGACTTCAAAAATGTATTTGTCAATGGGTTGAAACAACTGAAAATGGCCAAAAATCATGAGTTATAGCTTACAGTATCATGTATTTTAGACTTATTTGCTAATTGGTCAAAATGAATCAAAGTGGCCAAAAATCATCTTATGAAATTATAAATATTAGCCTCCACAAAA